GGGGGGTGTAGTGTGGCTGAGAGGGGGGTGTAGTGTGGCTGAGAGGGGGGGTGTAGTGTGGCTGAGAGGGGGGTGTAGTGTGGCTGAGAGGGGGGGTGTAGTGTGGCTGAGAGGGGGGTGTAGTGTGGCTGAGAGGGGGGTGTAGTGTGGCTGAGAGGGGGTGGGGGTGTAGTGTGGCTGAGAGGGGGGTGTAGTGTGGCTGAGAGGGGGGTGTAGTGTGGCTGAGAGGGGGGTGTAGTGTGGCTGAGAGGGGGGGGGTGTAGTGTGGCTGAGAGGGGGGTGTAGTGTGGCTGAGAGGGGGGGTGTCGGGTGAGTGGGGGGTGTAGTGTGGGGTGTAGGGGGGGGTGTAGTGTGTGATTGTGGGGTGTAGTGTGGGGGTGAGAGGGGGGTGTAGTGTGGGGGAGTGGGGGTTAGTGTGGGGCTGAGAGTGGGGGTGTAGTGTGGCTGAGAGGGGGGTGTAGTGTGGCTGAGAGGGGGGGTGTAGTGTGGGCTGAGAGTGGGGTGTGTGTAGTGTGGGGGGTGAGAGGGGGGTGTAGTGTGGCTGAGAGGGGGGTGTAGTGTGGGGGCTGTAGTGTGGCTGAGAGGGGGGTGTTTTAGTGTGGCTGAGAGGGGGGGGGTGTAGTGTGGCTGAGAGGGGGGTGGTGGGTGTGGCTGATGAGGGGGGTGTAGTGTGGCTGAGAGGGGGGCCAGTATACTCCAGTGTGGCTGAGAGGGGGGGTGTAGTGTGGCTGAGAGGGGGGTGTTAGTGTACTCCAGGGTCCTGGGGGGTGTAGTGTGGCTGAGAGAGGGGGTGTAGTGTGGCTGAGAGTGGGGGTGTAGTGTGGCAGGGGGGGGGGGTGTGTGGCTGCAGAGAGGGGGTGTAGTGTGGCTGAGAGGGGGGGTGTAGTGTGGCTGAGAGGGGGGGGTGTGTTATGTGGCTGAGAGGGGGGTGTAGTGTGGTGTTATGTGGGGTGTGGTGTGAGTAGGTGTTTTGTGGGGGTGTAGTGTGGCTGAGAGGGTGGGGGGGTGTAGTGAGGCTGAGAGGGGGGTGTAGTGTGGCTGTGTAGAGGGGGGTGTAGTGTGGCTGAGAGGGGGGGTGTAGTGTGGCTGAGAGGGGGGTGTAGTGTGGCTGAGTGGGGGGTGTAGTGTGGCTGTAGAGGGGGGTGTTGTAGTGTGGCTGAGAGGGGTGGGGGGGTGTTGTGTGGCTGAGAGGGGGTGTGTAGTGTGGCTGAGAGGGGGTGTTGTGTGTGGCTGAGAGGGGAGGGGGGTGGGTAGTGTGGTGTGAGAGGGGTGTGTGTAGTGTGGCTGAGAGGGGGGTGTAGTGTGGCTGAGAGGGGGGTGTAGTGTGGCTGAGAGAGGGGGTGTAGTGTGGCTGAGAGGGGGGGTGTAGTGTGGCTGAGAGGGGGGTGTAGTGTGGCTGAGAGGGGGGGGTGTGTAGTGTGGCTGAGAGGGGGGTGTAGTGTGGCTGAGAGGGGGGTATAGTGTGGCTGAGAGGGGGGATATAGTGTGGCTGAGAGGGGGGTGTAGTGTGGCTGAGAGGGGGGTGTAATGTGGCTGAGAGGGGGGTGTAGTGTGGCTGAGAGGGGGGTGTAGTGTGGCTGAGAGGGGGGTGTAGTGTGGCTGAGAGGGGGGTGTAGTGTGGCTGAGAGGGGGGTGGTGTAGTGTGGCTGAGAGGGGGGGGGGTGTGGCTGAGAGGGGAACTAGCTCCCTGACCCCACAGTCACCTCCCTGACCCCACAGTCACCTCCCTGACCCCACAGTCACCACCCTGACCCCAGTCACCTCCCTGACCCCCACAGTCACCTCCCTGACCCCACAGTCACCACCCTGACCCCACAGTCACCTCCCTGACCCCACAGTCACCACCCTGACCCCACAGTCACCACCCTGACCCCACAGTCACCACCCTGACCCCACAGTCACCACCCTGACCCCACAGTCACCACCCTGACCCCACAGTCACCACCCTGACCCCACAGTCACCACCCTGACCCCACAGTCACCACCCTGACCCCAGTCACCTCCCTGACCCCCACAGTCACCTCCCTGACCCCACAGTCACCACCCTGACCCCACAGTCACCTCCCTGACCCCACATTCACCACCCTGACCCCACAGTCAACTCCTGGACCCCACAGTCACCTCCCTGACCCCACAGTCACCTCCCTGACCCCACAGTCACCTTCCTGACCCCACATTCACCACCCTGACTCCACAGTCAACTCCCTGACCCCACAGTCAACTCCCTGACCCCACAGTCAACTCTCTGACCCCACAGTCACCTCCCTGACCCTACAGTCACCTTCCTGACCCCACATTCACCACCCTGACCCCACAGTCAACTCCCTGACCCCACAGTAACCACCCTGACCCCACAGTCACCTCCCTGACCCCACAGTCACCTTCCTGACCCCACATTCACCACCCTGACCCCACAGTCAACTCCCTGACCCCACAGTCAACTCCCTGACCCCACAGTCAACTCTCTGACCCCACAGTCACCACCCTGACCCCACAGTCACCACCCTGACCCCACAGTCACCTTCCTGACCCCACAATTCACCACCCTGACCCCACAGTCAACTCCCTGACCCCACAGTCACCACCCTGACCCCACAGTCAACTCTCTGACCCCACAGTCACCACCCTGACCCAACAGTCACCACCCTGACTCCACAGTCACCACCCTGACCCCACAGTCAACTCTGACCCCACAGTCACCACCCTGACCCCACAGTCTCCACCCTGACCTCCACAGTCACCACCCTGACCCCACATCTCACCACCCTGACCCCACAGTCACCACCCTGACCCCACCCATCTCACCTCCCTGACCCCACAGTCACCACCCTGACCCCACAGTCACCTCCCTGACCCCACAGTCACCTCCCTGACCCCACAGTCACCATCCTGACCCCACAGTCACCACCCTGACCCCACAGTCAACTCCCTGACCCCACAGTCAACTCCCTGACCCCACAGTCAACTCCCTGACTTCACAGTCAACTCCCTGACCCCACAGTCAACTCCCTGACCCCACAGTCACCACCCTGACCCCACAGTCACCACCCTGACCCCACAGTCACCACCCTGACCCCACAGCCACCACCCTGACCCCACAGTCACCACCCTGACCCCACAGTCGCCTCCCTGACCCCACAGTCGCCTTCCTGACCCCACAGTCGCCTCCCTGACCCCACCGTCGCCTCCCTGACCCCACAGTCACCTCCCTGACCCCACAGTCACCCCCTGACCCCCACAGTCAACTCCCTGACCCCACATTCACCACCCTGACCCCAGTCACCATCCTGACCCCACATTCACCACCCTGACCCCACAGTCACCTCCTTGACCCCACAGTTACCACCCTGACCCCACAGTCACCTCCCTGACCCCAGAGTCACCACCCTGACCCCACAGTCACCACCCTGACCCCACAGTCACCACCCTGACCCCACAGTCACCACCCTGACCCCACATTCACCACCCTGACCCCAGAGTCACCACCCTGACCCCACAGTCACCTCCCTGACCCCACACTCACCACCCTGACCCCACAGTCACTATCCTGACCCCACATTCACCACCCTGACCCCACAGTCACCTCCCTGACCCCACAGTCACCACCCTGACCCCACAGTCACCACCCTGACCCCAGAGTCACCACCCTGACCCCACAGTCGCCTCCTTGACCCCACAGTCACCACCCTGACCCCACAGTCACCTCCCTGACCCCACAGTCACCACCCTGACCCCACAGTCACCACCCTGACCCCACAGTCACCTCCCTGACCCCAGAGTCACCACCCTGACCCCACAGTCACCACCCTGACCCCACAGTCACCACCCTGACCCCACAGTCACCTCCCTGACCCCACAGTCACCACCCTGACCCCACAGTCACCTCCCTGACCCCACAGTCGCCATCCTGACCCCACAGTCACCACCCTGACCCCACAGTCACCACCCTGACCCCACAGTCACCACCTTGACCCCACAGTCACCACCCTGACCCCACAGTCACCACCCTGACCCCAGAGTCACCACCCTGACCCCACAGTCGCCTCCCTGACCCCCCACAGTCACCACCCTGACCCCACAGTCACCACCTGACCCCACAGTCACCTCCCTGACCCCACCAGTCACCACCTTGACCCCACAGTCACCACCCTGACCCCACAGTCACCTCCCTGACCCCACAGTCACCACCCTGACCCCACAGTCACCACCCTGACCCCACAGTCACCACCCTGACCCCACAGTCACCACCCTGACCCCACAGTCACCTCCCTGACCCCACAGTCACCACCCTGACCCCACAGTCACCCACCCTGACCCCACAGTCGCCACCCTGACCCCACAGTCACACCCTGACCCCAGTCACCTCCCTGACCCCACAGTCACCACCCTGACCCCACCCATCACCACCCTGACCCCACAGTCACCACCCTGACCCCACAGTCACCACCCTGACCCCACAGTCACCACCCTGACCCCACAGTCACCACCCTGACCCCACAGTCACCACCCTGACCCACACAGTCACCACCCTGACCCCACCCATCTACACCTCCCTGACCCCACAGTACACCACCCTGACCCCACAGTCACCACCCTGACCCCACAGTCACCACCCTGACCCCACCCATCTCACCACCCTGACCCCACAGTCACCACCCTGACCCCACAGTCACACACCTCCCTGACCCCACAGTCACCACCCTGACCCCACAGTCACCACCCTGACCCCACAGTCACCTCCCTGACCCCACAGTCACCACCCTGACCCCACAGTCACCACCCTGACCCCACAGTCACCACCCTGACCCCACAGTCACCACCCTGACCCCACAGTCACCACCCTGACCCCACAGTCACCACCCTGACCCCACAGTCACCACCCTGACCCCACAGTCACCACCCTGACCCCACAGTCACCACCCTGACCCCACAGTCACCTCCCTGACCCCACAGTCGCCACCCTTCATATAAGATTATATTGCCAACGTCTCGCTCTTCAGCCAATCATCGAAGACCAATCTGATGGCGTCACTCGTGTTCACCAATCAGGTTAAATCATTCTGAGAAGGTCACAGACGATTCAGCCAATCAGCTGGAATCATTATGCCGTCGTCACCAACTTGACTCGTTGACGGGAGCTCTTTGATCGTTGAGACAATAAGATCAGTCTGGTGGCGGAGGACACGCCCAACACTGAACCATTCTGACACGGGACGAAAATATTTCACACAACCGGACGATGACGTCACAAGCCTCCACCAACGACGTTTATAATCAGGATAGCTGTTCTCCGACCCCCCCCCCCACAGTGGGGTCAGGATAGCTGTTCCCCGCCCCCCCCCACAGTGGGGTCAGGATAGCTGTTCTCCGACCCCCCCCCACAGTAGGGTCAGGATAGCTGTTCTCCGCCCCCCCCACAGTGGGGTCAGGATAGCTGTTCTCCGACCCCCCCCCACAGTGGGGTCAGGATAGCTGTTCCCCGCCCCCCCCCACAGTGGGGTCAGGATAGCTGTTCTCCGACCCCCCCCCACAGTAGGGTCAGGATAGCTGTTCTCCGACCCCCCCCCACAGTAGGGTCAGGATAGCTGTTCTCCGCCCCCCCCCCCACAGTGGGGTCAGGATAGCTGTTCTCCGCCCCCCCCCCACAGTGGGGTCAGGATAGCTATTCCCCGCCCCCCCCCCCACAGTGGGGTCAGGATAGCTGTTCTCCGACCCCCCCCCACAGTAGGGTCAGGATAGCTGTTCTCCGCCCCCCCCACAGTGGGGACAGGATAGCTGTTCTCCGACCCCCCCCCCACAGTGGGGTCAGGATAGCTGTTCTCCGACCCCCCCCCCACAGTAGGGTCAGGATAGCTGTTCTCCGACCCCCCCCCACAGTGGGGTCAGGATAGCTGTTCTCCGCCCCCCACAGTAGGGTCAGGATAGCTGTTCTCCCCCCCACAGTGGGGTCAGGATAGCTGTTCTCCGCCCCCCCCCACAGTGGGGTCAGGATAGCTGTTCTCCGCCCCCCCACAGTGGGGTCAGGATAGCTGTTCTCCGCCCCCCCACAGTAGGGTCAGGATAGCTGTTCTCCGCCCCCCCCCACAGTGGGGTCAGGATAGCTGTTCCCCGCCCCCCCCCAGTGGGGTCAGGATAGCTGTTCTCCGCCCCCCCCTCACAGTGGGGTCAGGATAGCTGTTCTCCGCCCCCCCACAGTGGGGTCAGGATAGCTGTTCTCCGCCCCCCCCCACAGTGGGGTCAGGATAGCTGTTCTCCGCCCCCCCACAGTGGGGTCAGGATAGCTGTTCTCCGCCTCTCCCCCCACAGTGGGGTCAGGATAGCTGTTCTCCGCCCCCCACAGTGGGGTCAGGATAGCTGTTCTCCGACCCCCCCCCACAGTAGGGTCAGGATAGCTGTTCTCCGCCCCCCCCCCCCCACAGTGGGGTCAGGATAGCTGCTCTCCGCCCCCCAAAGTAGGGTCAGGATAGCTGTTCTCCTCCCCCCCACAGTGGGGTCAGGATAGCTGTTCTCCGCCCCCCCACAGTGGGGTCAGGATAGCTGTTCTCCGCCCCCCCCCCACATTGGGGTCAGAATAGCTGTTCTCGGCCCCCCCACAGTGGGTCAGGATAGCTGTTCTCCGCCCCCCCACAGTGGGGTCAGGATAGCTGTTCTCCGCCCCCCCCCACAGTGGGGTCAGGATAGCTGTTCTCCGCCCCCCCCCCCACAGTGGGGTCAGAATAGCTGTTCTCGGCCCCCCCCACAGTGGGGTCAGGATAGCTGTTCTCCGCCCCCCCCCACAGTGGGGTCAGGATAGCTGTTCTCCCCCCCCCCCCCACAGTGGGGTCAGGATAGCTGTTCTCCGCCCCCCCCCCACAGTGGGGTCAGGATAGCTGTTCTCCGCCCCCCCCCACAGTGGGGTCAGGATAGCTGTTCTCCGCCCCCCCCCACAGTGGGGTCAGGATAGCTGTTCTCCGCCCCCCCCTCCCACCGTCCACAGTGGGGTCAGAACAGCTGTTCTCCGCCCCCCCCCCCACAGTGGGGTCAGGATAGCTGTTCTCCGAGCCCCCACAGTGGGGTCAGGATAGCTGTTCTCCGCCCCCCCCCCACAGTGGGGTCAGGATAGCTGTTCTCCGCCCCCCCCCCACAGTGGGGTCAGGATAGCTGTTCTCCGCCCCCCCCCCCCACCGTCCACAGTGGGGTTAGGATAGCTGTTCTCCGCCCCCCCCCCCCCCACCGTCCACAGTGGAGTCAGGCTGTTCTCCGCCCAGCCCCCCCCCCCCCCGTCCACAGAAGGGTGGGGGGGGGCGTCAATCAACAGGTGTACAGGTTCCTGAGCCTATTGGGCTCTATCATATCTACACTTGAAACTGTGTATGGAGTCAGTCTCCACCACATCACTTCCTAATGCATTCCATTTCTCAACCACTCTGACACTAAAAAAATTCTTTCTAATATCTCTGTGGCTCATTTGGGCACTCAGTTTCCACCTGTGTCCGCTAGTGCGTGTTCACCTTGTGTTAAATAGCCTGTCTTTATCTACCCTATCAGTTCCATTGAGAATCTTGAATGTGGTGATCTGCTTGATGAGGTTCTGGGAGTTCTTCTACTCCCCAAGCCCGGCCCGAGGCCCGGCTCGACTTGAGAGAGTTTGGTCCACCAGGCTGTTGCTTGGAGCGGCCCGCAGGCGCACATACCCACCACTGCCCGGTTCGTCCGGCACTCCTTGGAGGAATAAATCCAGTTTTCTCTTGAAGATGTCCACGGTTGTTCTGGCAATATTTCTTATGCTCGCTGGTAGGACATTGAACAACCGCGGACCTCTGATTTTTTTACAGTGTTTTCTGATTGTGCCTATGGCACCTCTGCTCTTTACTGGTTCTATTCTGCTTTTTCTTCAGTATCGTTGCTCCAGTACGTTGTTATTTTACTGTGCAGATTAGGGCCCTGGCCCTCCAGTATTTTCCACGTGTATATTACTTGGTATCTCTCTCGTCTTCTTTCTAGAGACACATTTGTTGAGCTTTGAGACGATCCCAATAATTTAGGTGTTTTATCTCGTCTATGCGTGCCGTATATGTTCTCTGTATTCCCTCTATTTCAGCAATCTCTCCTGCTCTGAAGGGGTAAGTGAGTACTGAGCAGTACTCAAGACGGGACAACACAAGTGACTTGAAGAGTACAACCATTGTGATGGGATCCCTGGATTTGAAAGTTCTCATAATCCATCCGATCATTTTTCTGGCTGACGCAATATTTGCTTGGTTATGCTCCCTAAACGTTAGGTCGTCAGACATCATTATTCCCAAATCCTTGACATGCTGTTTTCCTACTATGAGCGGATTCGATTGTGTTTTGTACCCTGTATTATGTTTCAGATCATCATTTTGGCCGTACCTGAGTACCTGAAATTTATCACTGTTAAACATCATGTTATTTTCTGCTGCCCAATCGAAAACTTTATTGATATCTGCTTGTAATTTTTCAATGTCTTCAGCAGAGGTAATTTTCATGCTGATTTTTGTGTCGTCTGCAAAGGATGACACGAAGCTGTGACTTGTATTTTTGGTCTATATCTGATATGAGAATAAGCAACATTAGCGGTGCAAGGACTGTACCTTGAGGTACAGAGCTTTTAACTGCCCTTGGGCTCGATTTTATTTGATTGACTGTTACTCTTTATGTTCTGTTCGACAGGAAATTGAGTATCCAGCGTCCTACTTTACCAGTTATTCCCATTGACCTCATTTTGTGTGCTATCACCCCATGGTCACATTTGTCGAATGCCTTTGCAAAGTCTGTGTATACTACATCTGCATTTTGCTTTTCCTCTAGAGCTTCTGTGATTTTGTCGTAGTGGTTGAGTAACTGTGATCATGTCCCACGTAACTCTTCTGTCTCCAAGTGACGTGAGGTTTAATTCCCGTAGTCTCTCCTCGTAGCTCATACCTCTCAGCTCGGGTACTAGTCTGGTGGCAAACCTTTGAACCTTTTCCAGTTTAGTCTTATCTTTGACTAGATATGGACTCCATGTTGGGGCTACATACTCCAAGATTGGCCTGACATATGTGGTATATAAAGTTCTGAATGATTCCTTACACTAGTTTCTAAATGCTGTTCGTATGTTGGCCAGCGTGGCATATGCCGCTGATGTTATCCTCTTGATATGGGATGCAGGGGACAGGTCTGGCGTGATATGAACCCCCAAGTCTTTTTCTCTATCTGACTCTTGAAGAATTTCATATCCCAGATGATACCTTGTATCTGGCCTCCTGCTCCCTACACCTATCTTTATTACATTACATTTGCTTGAGTTAAACTCTAACAACCATTTGTCCGACCATTCCTTCAGTTTGTCCAGGTCTTCTTGAAACCTCAAGCAGTCCTCCTCTGTCTTAATCCTCCTCATAATTTTGGCATCGTCAGCAAACATTGAGAGGAATGAGTCTATACCCTCTGGGAGATCATTTACGTATATCAGAAACATGGTAGGACCGAGTACAGAGCCCTGTGGGACTTCACTGGTGACTTCACGCCAATCTGAGGTCTCACTCCTCACTGTAACTCTCTGCTTCCTATTGCTTAGGTACTCCCTTATCCACTGGAGCACCTTACCGGCTACTCCTGCCTGTATCTCCAGCTTATGTACCAGCCTCTTATGCGGTACTGTGTCAAAGGCTTTACGACAATCCAAGAAAATGCAGTCCGCTCAGCCTTCTCTTTCTTGCTTAATCTTTGTCACCTGGTCATAGAATTCTATTAAGCCAGTAAGGCAAGATTTACCCTCCCTGAACCCATGTTGGCGAATTGTCACGAAGTCCCTTCTCTCCAGATGTGTTACTAGGTATTTTCTCACGATCTTCTCCATCACCTTGCATGGTATACAAGTCAAAGACACTGGCCTGTAGTTCGATGCCTCTTGCCTGTCGCCATTTTTGCATATTGGGACTACATTAGCCGTCTTCCATATTTCTGGTAGGTCTCCCGTCTCCAGTGACCTACTATACATTATGGAGAGTGGCAAGCAAAGTGCCTCTGCACACTCTTTCAGTACCCATGGTGAGATCCTGTCTGGACT